GCGCTGTATCATTGGGCTATGGAAAAGCCCATAAAGTCCTGTTAGCTATTCCTTGCCAAAACCTATTCTTCTATATGCAATATTTTTATCCTTAAGAATGCTTTCTACCAATTTAGGCAGAACAGACATTAACTGGCCTGCAAGTTCCTTGATCCCTGTCATGCCCATTGGATTCACTTATGCCCCTATTATTCTACCAGTTTCAGATACGGCTGGAATTGCATCAGAGACTACCTTATGGATCCAAACTTGAGACAAATTTTAACATGGGCTTATCCATGGAGGTTGAAGGAGTGAAATTCTTTTATGTTCACTTCTTAGAAAACCTGGAGAAGGTTGCTTAAGAAGAGGATGTTAGGAACTCTTAAAAGATATACCGTATTTTTCGCCCCATAGGACGCACCTAGTTTTTTGGGGGGGAAATAAAGAATTTTTTTTTAATTCCCCCCCCAGGTGCGGGGCTGGGACGGGGAAATCTGGGCTTCCCCCGACCCCAGCCCCAGCCCAGGCTGCTATCCGCAAGCCGTGGGAGAGCTGCACGACTTCGCGCAGCTCTCCCATGGTTAGCAGAGAGCTGCACGAAGCCGGAAGCCTGGGGCGTGCTGAGCTCAGCGCGCCCCAAGCTTCTGGGTGCAGGCAAGGTCTCCCACGGCTTGCGGATAGCTTCCTGAAGCCTGGAGAGCGAGAGGGGTCGGTGCGCACCGACCCCCCTCGCTCTCCAGGCTTCAGCGAAAGCCTGCATTCGCCCCATAGGACGCACACACATTTCCCCTTCATTTTTGGAGGGGGAAAAGTGCGTCCTATAGGGCGAAAAATACGGTAGTTCCCACATCAAGCATGGTCTCACAGTGGTACCGAGGGCTCCCCCCCCCATTGGGCATAATCCCAGATGCATGCAGTGTCTCCTAAGGAGATGTGGCAATCGATTGGGGCACAGGATGCATTTTGGCTACATCCACCATCTGGAGAGTACTTTCTTCCTTGAATTTATAGTTTGCCTCAAATATAGGACTGGATAAAGGAAGGGGTGCAGAAGAGCATGCCGGGCAGGTAAATGGTCACAGGGACAAGATTGGCAGCTTCAAACTAATGACTAGAAGGTAACCGTCTGGGATAAAACTCCGCCTGAAATCCTGCTGACAGTTCAGCACATGGTATCCAAACAAACCCCTGCGTTGCAAAAGAGAACGTCAACAATGTTTAGGCCACATATTGACTGCTGTTTCGTAGATCTTCGTCAGCGTGGCGGGAGAATATAAAATTGTTTCATAAACCCATCTTATTTCGAATGGCTACATATTGCTGTTTACTTTGAGAGACAATTCCACTTTCTCCGCACCTTTTATAATGATAAAAGAGCTTTCAAACAATCGCGTTGTGACTTGGACAAATTGTCCTTAATTTTGGGACCCTTCTTTTCTAATTTTTCCAAATCTCGTAATACCAGTTGGTGAAATAAAGTAAATCATTATTTACTCCAGCTAATACAAATCCGTCCATTTCTTTATTTCACCAATTTCACCTGTGAACAAAGGGGGTGGAATTGTCATTCAAAGTAAACAGCAAAATGTAGCCATTTGAAATAAGATGGGTTTATGAAACAATTTTATATTCTCCCACCACACTGACGAAACAGCAGTCAATATCTGGAATCTCTGTTCGGTGTTGGACATTATATTTGCTGAATACACTAAGCTCCACAGCTTATCTTTCATCGTACAAAGTTTGGTACCTCGCCTCATTTAAAGATTTTCAGAGACTTTGAGACTAAGATTTCATTTTTAACTTGTTATCATTTGAAGGAATTCTATAAAGATTGTCTATTACGTATGTATATGGTCATCATGTTGCCTAAACATTGTTGACAGTTCAGCACAGACAGAACTGGGCCAAATTATAGGCCACAGCCCTGACACCAAACCTGGCCAACCCATGGAAAAGTTGTGCACAAGTTTTATTTTAGAACAGTAACCGTTCAACAAGGATTTTTAAGAAGCTAAACAGGCACCACTAGGCAACACCCCACACAACATTCTTATCTAAGCTCATTCCGGACTGGTGAGCGGAAAGAACAGCACATCACTTTTTATGTAACTTCTGGAATGTACGCTGGAGGGCAAGACAGTCCCGACAGCTGAAGGAAATTGGAAGGCAAAGCCTGCCAAGAGCACCTTTCACATAATCTTCCTGGGTAGGAATGAATGAGGTCGCTTTCAGCACAGAAGAGAAGGATGCACCCTGAAGACAGATTCATTCTTAGGAAGCCAATTCAATGGTTTGGGCTTGAGTGAGGGAAGCCTGCACAACTTGCGATGCAGCAAGCCAAACACAGCCCATGAGTCACTTATGGTGGTCTGTTAGGTCCCTAAAAATCCCTTGTTTTGGGGATCGCCCAACAGAAGGTTGTTTGGACCCTTTACGGCTGGTGGGCTGAATTTAGGGTGATGAACCGCTAGCTGTGGAAGCCTGCCCTGGGCAGAGAAAGCTACCACCATGCCTCACCTTTCTCTGTCCTTCAGGTTATCTAAAGTCTCACTGCTACTTACTAAGTAGTCATCTTTTCATACTTACTCTAAAGATCATATTGACTTGCATTTTGCAGTCCAGTTAAAGATTGGCTTCTGCCAATCTACTGTAATAAAATGGAGAAGAAATGGCCTGCCAAGACAAATTTATCACTTCACTTGCTGCAGCATTCAACTACTGTTGCAGCATTCTGATCGCCTACTGAAATTAACAACCATTTTCCATAATTTCAGCCAAGTTCTCTGCACATCCTTGGTAACAGATTGTTTGTATATGGCTTTGCAAATGGTTCAAGGGTCCTCCCATTCCTGAAATGTGAAAGTGTTTTGCAAGCGGTGCTTGGAAGGGAAACAAGATTCCTGTTTCTGCTGTGTTTTCAATTCAGGAGCACGTGGCAGGATTCGGAGAATCAAAAGCATGGTCACCGAGCCCTGCTGACTGGCTAGCTGACTGGTTGCTGGCACCTACTCTGGAGGAGGCTTCCGCCTTCCTGTTGCAAGTACGTGAGAGGGACACAGCTATTAAGTACTGTGCGTGCACTGTGCAAAAAGAGCAGGACGGCCCTCGCTCAGCCCTGCGAAGGTGAAGCGAAACAAGGACAACTGCATTCCTTACTGGTGAAGCCAAAAGAGAAGGAAGCCTCTATAAGGAAGCTAATGAGGGACTCTCCAGAAGCAGTTGCATCATGGGTAATTTGTACTGAGGGAAGGGTGGGAACATTGAACATTGGTTCTGGGTGAAGAAACTAAGGAGAATGGAAGGCTTTTAGGGAAGCTTTTAATGTTTAATAGGCTATTGTATTTTGATATTCCGTTGGAAGCCGCCTGGAGTGGCTGGGGAAACCCAGCCAGATGGGTGGGGTATAAATAATAAATTATCATCATCATCATCATCATTATTATCATATTACTTCTCAGGTGTTGGGGAGCACATAGTTCTGCTCTTAAAAATGCCCAATTCAGTAATTCAAAAGTGTGGCTAATGAATGGATGCCTGAACTAGACAAGCTTTCAGCTGTTTTTATTTCATGCCCATATGTTCATATTCAGAAGCTACTGCCCCTTTTCTGCAGGGAACCTGAACATGGGATAGAAGGTGTAAATCACAGGGCTAATAATGGCCATTAGCACTCGCCCCTGTTGGGAACAGCTGCATGTCACAAGAGACCTACAGGATCAGACCAAAGGTCCATCTAGTCCAGTATCTCATTTCCCGCAGCAGCTAACTGAGATGCCTTCTGTAGCTGTCCCCAGCACACACTATTCAGAGGGATACACTGCCCCTGAACACGGCAATTCTAAAACTTAGTCATCATTATTAAGCGGAGATAAAAAACAAAGTTTGGCAAAATTCCCCAAGCCATTACTTAAGGACCTAGAGCATCACAGGACCACTAACCCAACAAGCATGGGCTCACAGCTGCAGTCACCAGATTGCCATTGGCAGCTGCAGAGGGCATCTTTTAACCTGGCAATTGCAGCATACTTGCCCCAAGTCTGCAGAAGAATGGGGTTCTCTGTCTAATAGTCTGCAGAGATGCTTGGAAAGAACTGAGACTTTCTCACAGCTCTTGGTGTGTTGCTGTGACTCTGCAAAACAGGGGTGACCCTTCCCCTCCACCCTTCATCGCCTCAGCTCAGAGCTGGAGCGGGAAGGAGCAACTTCCCTTACTCCACTTTCCCTGAGCCTAAAGCACTGGGTGATGTCAAACCAGACTGACCTTTCCTCTGCTGCTTGTTGCAAGCACACATCTTTGCTGGCTACCGAAGGCAACTAGTGTCTTGAGGGTCCAACACATACTTGTTTCAGAACACAAAGGGGTTCCTCTGCTGCTTCACATCACCAGTATGAAAAAAGCTGAGAGCAGGCCCACTGCCTCAAAGGAGGAGGAAGGACCCACTGAAGTTATTGACCCAGGAGTGACACTGCATTCACAATTTTAGGGTGAAAGGTATCTGCAAGGAAGGGAGTGCACCAACCTTTCTTATAAACAGCAGCTCACTGCTCTCATAGAAGCAATCAAGTATGCTGCCTTTAGGGCTGCAATGTTTAACCAATTAGAGCACTGGTTAAATGTGTTTATCTATTAAACACACTCCTGATTAATTGAGCATTTAAAAAAAGGTTTTGACATGACTATAAAAACTGCAGGTGGCAAGCAACATCTTGGAAGAAGCCTTCTCCCTTTTCTTGAACACAGGATGAATGCTTCTTTCAAGGTGATGTCTGCTGTTTTATTATTTATTGAATTTATATACCGCCCTATACCTGGAGTTCTCAGGGTAGTTCACAGAACAATATTTTCAATGGTCATTAAAGGGAAAAACCAAGGTAAACCAGGTGGAAATGCTATCAAAGGAAGAAATTCTTAGGCAACTGAATGTCTCTATAGCCCCAAGCAGCTTAACAGACGGAAAATGGCTTCATTGCCCCACTAAGTTGTGCAGAGAAGAGAGAAACTGCAGAGGACTTACCCCAGTTTTCAAAGCACACCAACACTTTGACCTGAGTTTAAGCAGCACAAGTAACCTGGTCCATCCTGGATTCAAGCTCAAAGGCATCGGGTCGGTCCTGCGGGTTAGCAGCCAACATGTCTTTCAAGAGCTGCTTGATCCCCTCGGACATGGAAGTCCTGCGTTTCTGGGGGATGTGCAACTCCATCTTTGGGTTTTCTAGCAGCGCCTCCCCGACGGGCACAATCTCAGTCCCCTGCTTGATGTAGGTCCCCAGCAGCTCCTTCTTGGTCTCGGCATCGATGAACGTTATCCTCTCGATCATTGCCCAGATGATGATGCCCAGGGCAAAGATGTCCGCCTTGGCAGTGTAGTGCCCCTCCCAGACCTCAGGAGCCATGTAGAAGTCTGAGCCGCAAGCCGAAGACAGCCAGTATTTGTTCACATTCACATTTTTGTTATCGTTCCCCCCGTCCTTGCCTCGAGCAGTCAAGCCGGCGCACACCTTGCTGAGCCCAAAGTCTGCCACCTTGAGGACAGGAGCGCCCGACTGCTCCGTGATGAGGATGTTGTCCGGCTTCAGGTCTCTGTGCACAATGTGGTTCTTGTGAAGGAAGGCAATGGCGCTCGTCAGCTGCAACATGAAACTCTTGTTGGTGGCCGGGTCCGGCCTGCGGGAAAGGATGTACTGGTTCAGGTCTCCCCCTTCGCAGTACTCCATGACGAACCAGAGATAACAAGGTTCTTCAGCATAGCCCAGGATCCTCTCACCTTGCCGGGGGAAGAGAAAGGAGAAGGAGAAGGATTACTGCATGAGCAAGACGGGGAGACTACAAAGATAAATCGGAACCTGGGAAAGGAGTGTGCAATTGGACAGCACATCTTCCTACCACTGTCCCAGAGGTCTATTCTACACAAAACTAAACCGATTTATTTTGTGAAAACTGGATGTGCCGTAGTGAATCCATCACTGGAGGCCATGTCAACAGGTCAGGACATGGCCTGGCTCTTTGATTGAACACAGATGAACAGAAATGCTTTCAGAAATCTCTCTATTAAAGATCAACACACTTTTGACTTCCATGCAACATTTCAGATCTCACAGGAACAGACCTCCAGCAATATTCTGAGATCCCGTGGGCAATATTTTAATACACTTTCTCCCATGCTGACTAGCAGCTATCTCCTAGGCACCCTCTTCCAAAGCCTCTAGCCACAAAAGCACCACAAAAATGGCTGTCGGGGTGTGTTTCATTGCAAACAATGACTTGGAGCCATCTGACTGAATTGGCTGCTTGAATGGGAAGGCAGGTAGTCCTCACCAGCACGCAGCCCATCAGCAGATGGAATTTATTAAATCCAGGAGACACGTTATTGCTCAATCAAGCTAATCTGGTTTCGCTTTTGAAACGAAAAGCATTTGATACCATATTACAAAGGCTATGCCCTGTGTGCATTTTCCTGTGGTGTGTGTATGTTTTTGTGGGGTGAGTGCTGCACATTGTGAGGGTGGATGTGCCTTAGGCAGAGGGAGAGAGGGATGGTGCTCCTATTTCTGTGGTTATGGTTGGAGGGGAAGGGTCCAAATGTTTGTGGACCATACCTTTTTTCAATCCTCCATCCACTGTACAGGTATTCTGTTGCCAGGCTACTGAATCATTTCCCTGGAAACATATTAAAAGTCTAAGTATGCTACTATGTTTTTGTTATTCTGAGATGCTATTACAGCCTCTTAGTTCCATTACAGTGGTGCCTTGTGTTACGGACAGGATCCGTTCCGGAGGCCCGCCCGTAACATGAAAAGCCCACAACTCGAAGCGCTGTGTCTGTGCAGGCCCGTGGCGAGATTTGGCGCTTCTGTGTATGTGGCGAAACCCGGAAGTAACCCATTCCAGTACTTCTGGGTTGCCGTGGGACACAAGACGAAAACACGCAACCTGAAGCGGACGTAACATGAGGTATGACTGTATTACATATATGTTTATATTTTGGGAAACCACTTAAGACAGTACTAAGCGATATATAAATATATGAAATAATAACACTCCTGCATGTAAGCTTTGAATTGCTTTTCCTTTTCCTACTGAAATGTCTTTTGGGCTCTCGCGCATCTTGTCGCTCCACCTTGCAGCAAGCCAAGGGCCTTGGGAAGCGGGCAAGATAGCAAAACAGACCTTCCAAAGAGAAGAAGCCAAGTATGACCAAACAGAACCAGAGATAAGTTGCTCCCAGGTCTTTGATAACAGCCTCCATAATAGTGAGGAGCACAGGCTATTTGCATAAACAAGTCTGTTCCCATGACTACTGCTATGGTAATTGAAGGCTATATCACCACTTGGCTATCCTGCCCTGTCAACAGCAAGTAGGAAAAACTTTAGAAAGAAAAAAAATAGATGAAAAAGGGTGTGGGCTACAGGCCTCTCTAGAAGGATTTGATTGTATACAGGGGGAGCGGGCAGAAAAAGAGAGTATTCTTTCCTGTTATAAGCTGGAGGTGAACAAGAGGATGAGAGGGAAGGCAGTGAGAAAATGGAAACTGAAGAGACTGTTGCTGCACTCAGAAAATAAAAACCAGAAGGTCTTATGGGGGTCACTCCATTCACTAAATTACAAGCCATGCAGGTGCTCCCTCTGTTCCATTAATGCCTCAAACCTAAGTTTTTTTCAGTCTAAAGAAAAACATGAAAATTTTGTAACATAACAGAGATTAAACAATTTAATGTTTCAGTTGTTCTGTCTCAGGTATTAACTACGGTAAGCAATTTCATAGCTAGTAATGGGCCATGAGAAATAAGCATCCATTTAGAGCATGCTTTGCAATTAACAGCCACACGGTATAAACAGCCACACACAGAAACTGTAACCCCTATGCACACTTACCTGAAAGAAAGCCTAGCTGAACACAATTAGAATTACTTTCAAGTCAATGTGTGTAGGATTGGACTGTGAAATCCCTCATTTGAAGTTTTCATCCCCAAAAAGTTTTTGATTTGAGTTTCTGCTGAAATGAGGCTGCATTTTAATGTTGTACTGTACTTTAATCTTGTTTTTAAGTTGTATTTTAATCAATTGTTTTTATACCTGGTGTTAGCCACCCTGAGCCCAGTCTTGGCTGGGGAGGGAGGGGGATTAATAAAAACTATCATTATCATTATTATTATTATTATTATTGATGCTAAGATGCCTAGTGCACATTAGCAGAAAGTCAATTAATCAAAACCAGCTAAACGGCTATGGGAAAAACACCCCTCTCCCATATTAATTAGACACACTGGAAAGTTAGTGATCACCTTCTCTCTCCAATGTTGAGTGACCCCCCCCCCATGTTGTGTTGACGAGGCAACAGTGAGTGACTAGCCGTGAGTTCGAGGCACTAAAGCAAGAAACTAAAAAGGTTGCCAACGCACAGCAAATGGATGCTGCACGTTTTTCTGTGGTGCCCATTTGGGCATTTTGTGAGCTCCCGCATGGCACGCAGCTGAGCAGGCTCTGTGGCACGCCAGCCGACACGTGAAGGGGCTTGGCTTAGCTATAATAAGCCAGCTCTGTACACTGACAGTATGCCTTGCAAAGAGCACACAGTCCAGCACAAACTCAAGAGTGGGTGATGCTGCTGGGTCCAAGGCTGCACATTGCCTACACACATGCTCTACACACATGCGCTCTCTTCTCCCCATCCCCACCCCACCGCTCTCCACACGCGGTAGATTTACTTGGGTATAAGGAATGCCCTTTATTAAAAGAGGGCTTACGCTAAATGTAGAGAAATAATAAAAGAAAATCTGTGGCAACCTTCTGCTAAAGAACTGTCCCACAGAAAGCTCAGTTGCTGTTTGCGCTCTTTCCCTCCTTATTAGGCACCTCATCCCCAAGAGGATCACCTTCACCACCTGAGCCTTTGGCGTAATTGTGGTGCCTGCTATTCCAAAGCTCATGGCGACAGTGACTCCTGACGGCATATGAGGTTGACTAGTGTGGAGGTGGACCACTAGGGACAGGAATACAGACCGAGGTGGTGGTGGTGGGATTTCGGTATGAGGAGAGAAATAAAGCTATTTCCAGGAGGTCTCTGCTCATCCCAAAGGAAATGAACTACTCTCATGAGGGACAAGCAGATAGGTGCACATGTGTAGAGGTTAGATATATGCATTAAAATGACTCTTTCATACACCAGACTGGCCTGAACAAAGTAGGAAAAGTATTTACAGGTGGGCTGCAAGCTAATTGCTCGTTCCAGAGATCATGTTGAGACCTTTAGGTGTGCAGGAGCTCTTTATAGCACTGACTGAAGCCACCATGAGATGCAGCTTCAACTTATGAAGTCAGGAAGGCAAAAAGGGGGAACAGAAAAGACAACAACTGCAAAGAACCATCAAAGCCACCCACCCACACTACTGTTAAGCAAACATTTTGAGGATTTTTTTAAAAAAGCACTTTAGGGGCTGGTATTTTGTAAGCATTCACTCATCCCTGCAGGGCCTACATACTTAGTGGTCTCTCTGAGGAAGGCCTCTGTACATGATTCAGTCAGCTTGGATTTGGAGAAGGGACCTAAGACGAGCACATGAAAATTTCCTATACAGTGGTACCTCAGGTTAAGTACTTAATTCGTTCCGGAGGTCTGTTCTTAACCTGAAACTGTTCTTAACCTGAAGCACCACTTTAGCTAATGGGGCCTCCTGCTGCCACCGGAGCACGATTTCTGTTCTCACCCTGAAGCAAAGTTCTTAACCTGAAGCACTATTTCTGGGTTAGCGGAGTCTGTAACCTGAAGCGTATGTAACCTGAGGTACCACTGTACTCAGGGAATAGGCACAGCTCAGTGGTAAGAACATAAGAAAAGCCAGTGGTCAATCTAGTCTAGCATACTGTTCTCACAGCAGCTGGAGGTAGAACTTAGCCACACTGTCTGTGTCCCACTGAGGATGTGCCCATCTTTCCCCATGGCTCTTTGAGCTATACTTCCATAACTAAAGGAGTCCAGCAGGGCTGGTCCAATAAAAGGGGTGAAGGAAGATCTACATCAGGAAGAGTGTGTGTGTGTGTGTGTATTACATTGAGACCTGCTACCCCGGTGGATCCTGCCACCCAAGGCAGTCATCTCACAGATGGTCTGGCCCTGGGGTCCAGTATATTGTAGGATGTGAAAGCAAGATGCTTAGCACCCCCTTCTCATACCTGTTTTAAAAATGTGTACCTATTACATATAAAGATCCATTCATGGACCCCAATACTTTGGTGTAGGCACACACCAGGCATCTACAACAGACGCTCGGGTTGCGAACATGATCCGTGCAGGATGCACGTTCGCAAACTGCATCTGCACACGCACGGGTTGCGATTTGGCGCTTCTGCGCATAGCGTGATTTAGTGCTTCTGCGCATGTGCAACCGCCGAAAGTCGGAAGTAACCCGTTCCTGTACTTCCGAGTTTCGGCAGTCCGTAACCCGAAAAACTGCAACCTGAAGTGGCTGTAACCCAAGGTATAACTGTATAGGGAACATTGCATAGGGATTTTTCTCTGTCCCTCCCCCAACATCTCCACAAGGTCCAGTACCTTGAAGTGTATGCATATATAGTCATACCTTGGGCTGAAGTCGCTTCAGATTAAGCCTTTTCGGGTTGCGCTCTGCGGCGACCCGGAAGTAATGGAGCGCGTTGCCTCCGGGTTTCGCCGCTTGCGCAGACACTCAAAATGACATCACTTGCATGTGCAGGAGCGGCAAATCGTGACCGGCGCATGCGAGTTGCGTTCGCTCCAGGGTGCGATCCTGAACGGATCCCGTTCGCATCCAGAGGTACCACTGTACACGTTTCTTGTGCCACACAATCCCTATTTACACACCTTTTTGCTTCTGCCACGAATACAAAGGGCAGTTTGCAGGACCCATCCCTTGAATGTAGCCACACAAGCCTATTCCACATAAGGCACCCTAGGAAGGATTCCCCTCACATACACACCTCAGTTTAGTGAGGGGAAGTTTAGCAGCCCAACCTGGGGAGAAAAAACTCTCTCAACCTCCGTAGAGTCTTGCCCTGAACCAAACCCCCAGTACCCCTCCTTTCACCAGGTGCCACTTAACATAATAAGAGGCTGGCTGTTGGGATCAGGCCTTTAAAGGCGGAAGGGGCACCTGTCCTCTGCCCTCACCCCCCCCCAGAAGAAAACTCCCAAGCAGGAAGTAGGCATTCCCAGGCACCCAACACATGGGTAGCCTTAGGCCCCTGTGCATTAAGCACCCCATTTTAAGGCACAAGCGACTTGCAAACTACTCCGGGGATCATTTCCCCAGAGCAGCATGCGGATCTAACGAGCAAAACAAACTGAAAGTGGAGGGAAGGGGACGCGCGGACCCGCTGTGGCGTGCACGCGCGTGTGCTGGGCCTGTACAGAGCAGCCGTAGCAGCCTCCTTACCTTTGCACAGGATCCTCGCCCAGCACACCCTCCCCCCCCCGACTCCCGAGGAGCGCCAGCAAAGGCGGGGGGGGGACTCTCTCGGGGTGGGCCCCTTACTCCCGAGGTGGGGCATTTCCTCCCGAGGTATGCAGGGCGAGACCCTCCATGGGTGGCCCCCCTCCCCCCACCGGGGGGGTATATGGCGCCCCTCCCCCCCCCGCGGCCTACCTTTGAGGGAGGTCTCGACGAGGCGGAGGTAGAGGGCGCTCTGCTTGTTGCCGTGGCTCATGCGCTGCCCGAGGCCGTCTCTCTGCAGGACGCACTCCTCGAAGCGCACCACGTTGGGGTGTCGGCGGCGGAGGCTGGTCAGGGCCCAGAACTCGGCCAGCGCCAGCTCCACGTTCTCGGGCGCGTCGCAGCGGATGCGCTTGACGGCCAGGCGGGCCCCGCTGCGGCCCGACACGGCCTCGTACACCACGCCGTAGGCGCCGCGCCCGATCTCGGCCACCAGGCGGTAGCGCGGCGGGGAAGCCGCCGCCTGGCTCGGGCCGCCTCCCACCTCCATGGCGGCGGCAGCGGCGGCGGCGGCTCCCTCCTTCAGCAGCGGCGCGGCCCGCTCGCGCCTCAAGCGCCGCTCCGGCAGCCTTTGTGTCCCTCGGCGGCCGCCGTCGCCGCCCGTTTCCATGGCAGCGCCGCGGCGGGGCCTAGCTGGTGGGGCCGCCGCCGTCGTCGTGGCCGCGGCCGGGGGAGCCCCCTCTTCATCCCGCCCGCCCGGCTGCTCCGGGACGGGGCTCGGACGCTCCTCGGGCTCGCCGCCGCCGCCGCCTCGGACGCGCTTCCTCCGGGCCGCCTCAGGAACTGCGGAAGGGAGAGGAGGGGGGGCGGCGTCGGGTGCGAGGCGAAGGGGGGGGGAACAGAGAGAGAAACACACAGAAGGGCGGCTGGTCAGTGAGGAGAGAAGCGCGTCGGGGGATGGGAGAAGCGAAAGGTCGGAGGGGAGAAAGCGCGCCCTGCCTGCCCCTTTAAAAAGCGCGCAGCCAATCGCCGCTCGCGGCAGCCAGGTGGAAGTCGGGGCGGGGGAGAGAAGCGGGCCGTACCATCTTCCCCATCGGGAGGGGGAGGGGGACGGAGCAACCCCTTCTCAAAACCCGAACGAGAGCCGCCCTTCTCCCAGCGCGGATTGTTTTCGCGGGAGGAACGTTAAATAATAACGCGCGTAACAAAATCTTTCCCTCGCCGTAGCGCGAGGTGAGCCGAGAGGTGAGTCGTTAAACCCCCCTCCCCCTTCGGAATAGCTCGCTCCCTTCTTGGACTGTCAACATTTCATTCATAGCTTCAGGGAGGCGGACGAGTCCATTCTGCAGCTTGGGATGGGGAACGGGAGATCAGCCCATTCAGATGCCCCATTGTATTGCTTTCCCTACTCCCTTCCTTGACAACTCTTGCAACCCGGGATTTTTTGGGGGGGTGGGGGTGGGGCAACTGCTGGACCGCAAAGGAACCTCCGACTTACCTGGAACGAGGAGACGACCCTCTCCCTCCTCTGAGCGCCCCCTCCCCAGCTTGCGCGGTTGGAGGTGTCGGTTCCCAAGCTGAGAAGGAAGAAAGGGAGGCGAGGGAGATGCTCTGAACCTCTGAATGGATACAGAGACGCTGCGAGCTTAGCTGATGCTGTCGCTAGGAGAGGAGCGAAAGAGGTGGACGGCGGGGAATGGGGGGGGGGGAGGGGATCATTGCATAAGCCCCCTTATGTAATAGCAACTGGCCATCCCCGGTGAGGAGAGAGAGGGACAGGCAGGCAGGCAACATCTGCTTATCCTCACGGAAGAGGCACCAAAAGAGGTGCGTGCGCTACTGCCTGGGAACGGGGGTATGAATCTGGGAGGGAAGACTCACCTCTTTCCTTTCGTGGGTTTTTCAAATTGGAAGAGGGTGGTGGTGGTGAGGAATTATTTAATCTGAATGCAGACTTCCCTTAAGTTTAGGAAGGCCATAGCTCGATGGTGGAGCTTTAACATTGCACGCAAAAGATCCCAGATTTCAACCTCCTGCTGTTACTGATTTGCAGGATTTCTTCGCTGCCATAAAACATGAACACCCTGATGGCTGGCACCCACCAACAGCACATGTAGGTTTATGGGAACACCTGATGCACTAATCATCTGTTCTGGGGGAAACCCAACTACTTTGATAATATTTAAATAATAATAATAAATGTTCAGTAGCACCTTAGAGACCAACTAAGTTTGTTCTTAGGGACGCGGGTGGCGCTGTGGGTTAAGCCACAGAGCCTAGGGCTTGCCGATCAGAAGGTCCGCAGTTCAAATCCCTGCGATGGGGTGAGCTCCCGTTGCTCGGTCCCTGCTCCTGCCAACCCAGCAGTTTGAAAGCATGAAGTGCAAGTAGATAAATAGGTACCGCTCCGGCGGGAAGGTAAACGGCGTTTCTGTTTCCGTGGGCTGCTCTGGTATGCCAGAAGCGGCTTAGTCATGCTGGCCACATAACCCGGAAGTTGTTTGCCGGCTCCCTCGGCCAATAAAGCGAGATGAGCCCAGAGTCAGCCACAACTGGACCTAATGATCAGGGGTCCCTTTACCTTTACCTTAAGTTTGTTCTTGGTGTAAGCTTTCGTGTGCATGCACACTTATTCAGAATTGTGCATGCACATGAAAGCTTATACAGTCATACCTCTTGTTACATTAGCTTCAGGTTACATCTTTTCAGGTTGTGTCCCTCGGTGACCCGGAAGTACCGGAAAGGGTTACTTTCGGGTTTCGCCACTCGCGCATGTGCGCAAAATGACATCATGCACAGAAGCGGCGAATTGCAATGTGCGCGTGCTGCGTTCCTTTCAGGTTGTGAACGGGGCTCTGGAATGGATCCCGTTCGCAACCAGAGGTACCACTGTACAAAGAACAAACTTAGTTGGTCTCTAAGGTGCTACTGGACATTTAAAAAAATAAAATTATATGTATTTCGACTGCGTCAGACGAACACGGCTACCTACCTGAATCTAGTACTTTGATAATGTTTACGTTCATGCCTATGTTCTTTCTTTTGAAAATTAATAAAATATTAAAGTGGGGGGGGGGCAGATGAAACCACTTCAATCATAAAATGACAAAAATACAACAACAGCCCAAATGGAACAGAGCTGTATAAATCCAGGTAGCCTGGAAGAGACCCTTGTCTGAAATACTGCTGTCATTCAGTGTAGACAGTACCAAGCTAGATGGATCAGTGATAAAGCAGCTGTCTACGTTACTATGATGACACTTACATCTAACACAGAAGCTTTTCTGATGCTTTTAAAACCAAGCACATGCTAGTCTTCTGGAATGTATTGGTTACATGAACTTTAGAGAATCTGACCCCAACCATGATTTCCTTGGGATGTTACTTCTCTTTTGGAATGACAACTTTGCAAAGTGGCTTATCGGCAGGTGCTCCAAAGTGCAAATGCCTTTTTAATGTATTTTTTAAGATTGCGTTTCCAAATAAAAACCAGAAGCAGAACACAGTAGAAGTGCTGGAACTCTCAACTTGCTTGCAGTTTGCTGAGTTTGTCCTCACAACTTGGTGAGGTGTCACCTGAGGAATGGCAGCTGCTTGGCAGACCCTTAATCCTCCTCATAAAGGGAGGGATAATATGTGGCAGTGAGGCAGTGCGTGGGCTTTGCATACAGAGCGGGACCCACAGTTCAGTCCCCAGGATCTCCCAGTCAATCTCAAACTGACATAGCTTTATTTTTATTTAACAAAATTGGCACGCGGCTTGTTTGTGAAAACAACAACCCACCAACCTGCTAAGCAATCTACAAAAATAGAGAATATTAATGCTATCAATAAAAAAACAGGAAATGCTTCTGGATTTGAGCTGCAGTCAGCCAAGACGGCTAGACAGTACCAGATGGTAAGTCTTGGTATAAGGGAGCCACGTATCAAGTTGGTGTGAACCTGCTGGAGTCTCATCAATTCAACACAGCAAAGCACTGCTAAAAGCCTAGTCTCAGGTAGGAGAGGTGACTTTCAAGCATAGACTGACATGGGCTTAGACCTGTAGTGGGGGAACCATCGGGTCCTGGAGGCTGAATGTAGCCCTGGAGGCCTCTCTCTTTGGGCTTGGGATTCCCCAAGCCACTCCTTCTTACACCACACCCATTACTAGCCCTGCTTTGCTCAAAGGCTTTTGCCTGGTTGGAACAGGTCCTTGGACTCTGCTTGGCCAGATGAGGGAAGGATGTTTGTGTGCACATGTAGAACCCCCGGACACTAGCTTAGATGGAACGTAGCTTATTGTAAGAACCAAGTTGTGGGACGCGGGTAGCGCTGTGGGTTAAACCACAGAGCCTAGGACTTGCCGATCAGAAGGTCGGTGGTTCGAATCCCCGTGACGGGGTGAGCTCCCGTTGCTCAGTCCCTGCTCCTGCCAACCTAGCAGTTCAAAAGCACGTCAAAGTACAAGTAGATAAATAGGTACCACTCTGGTGGGAAGGTAAACGCCGTTTCCGTGCGCTGCTCTGGTTCGCCAGAAGCGGCTTAGTTATGCTGGCCACATGACCCGGAAGCTGTACACCGGCTTCCTCGGCCAATAAAGCGAGATGAGCGCCGCAACCCCAGAGTCAGTCATGACTGGACCTAATGGTCAGGGGTCCCTTTACCCTTTACCTTTAAGAACCAAGTTCATAGCTCTGCCCATGTCCATAGCTCTGCATATGGTCTCTGGAAGGTTGGTCAGGAGCGAATGTGGCTTTTGGGCTGAAAAAGTACCCTTGCTCCTGGCTTAGATATAAAATGGACCCGACTCTGCACAAGGCAACTGCTCCAGATTAAAGTGATCAAGCTCATCTACTTGTCATGCCTTTCAAATTCACCTGCCACCATAATCTATCCGAGGGAAACGCTCACTTTGACCCATTCCATTTTCCATAACGTTAGGATTCCACATTTGCTGAGACACCACTGTCATTTTCTTAATGTTCTTCAACATATTATTATCCTGAGGGCATGATGCTTTTCAAGATGCCTACGGTCAGCTAGGAGTCCCAAGCAGCCTGCACAAACTTAACACAGAGCTTTTCGATCTTGGTCACATCCATTTTAATCCATTGTGGCTGCTCTACGGTTTGCTGAAGCCGATGGTTTCCTAGGCCTTGTAGCGCTCAGATTAACACCCACCTCTTGGCAGAGGTCAGGTTAGGGAGCAGGAACATAATGCACCATATTTTTCTGCAAGTCTAGCCATGACCAATTTCCTTTTGGGCCCATTTCAAGATATTGCAATTAAAGCCCTCTCTGACTTTTCAAAGTTAAAGTGTTGGACTTGGGGATTCGACCCAAGGTTTCCCTTGTCCATCAGCCATGAAGCTCACCGGATTGCTTCTTGCAAGTCACAGTCTCTAGCCTCATAACAGTGTTGCTGGAAGGATAAGGAGGCACTCCTTGTAGGAGATTCAAATACAATACAGTGGTACCTTGGGTTACATATGCTTCAGGTTACATACGCTTCAGGTTACAGACTCCACTAACCCAGAAATAGTGCGTCAGGTTAAGAACTTTGCTTCAAGATAAGAAGAAGAAGACGAAGAAGAAGAAGAGGAGGAGGAGTTTGGATTTGATATCCTGCTTTATCACTACCCTAAGGAGTCTCAAAGCGGCTAACAATCTCCTTTTCCCCTTCCTCCCCCACAACAAACACTCTGTGAGGTGAGTGAGGCTGAGAGACTTCAAAGAAGTGTGACTGGCCCAAGGTCACCCAGCAGCTGCATGTGGAGGAGTGGAGACGCGAACCCGGTTCACCAGATTACAAGTCCACTGCTCTTAACCACTACACCACGCTGAACAGAAATCGTGCTCTGGCGGCGCGGTAGCAGCAGGAGGCGCCATTAGTTAAAGTGGTGCTTCAGGTTAAGAACAGTTTCAGGTTAAGTACGGACCTCCGGAACGAATTAAGTACTTAACCTGAGGTACCACTGTAACTTAAAAGATGCATTCAACACAATAGAAGGTCAGGCCACT